GCTAAAACCAGTGTTGACTCTTGCTGTCACCTAGGAATGCTGGCAGATGGAGGCATTAAGAGGAAGTTGTTTTTATATCAGTTAGGGACTTTTTTCCATAGACAGTTTCTTTGTAATAAACATTCTCCTTTGATGTCAGAATGGATGTCTAAATGAATCTCACATTGTTGTGGGTTTTTTATGTTAAGGCAGCTGGTCAGATACCCTTTTGGTCTGTGCCTGCTGAGTTTGAGGTGCCTGTGCGATGCCAAGAAAGGTGTGGCCAGGACGAAGCTAAATGTCCTGGCTGGAGCTCAGGAGAGACTTGGGCCGAACACATGCTTGTGGTTGAGGCCATGGCAGTGAATGCGATCTTAAGGGGGACACAGACATAGGAGAATACAGACAATGACCCTGGACAGATGTAGGTGGGGGCAGAGCATGTGTCAGAAAAGAAAAAGGCAACTGGAAAATAAGACTGAGAATGGGGTCCTCAGAGGAGAGAAGATGACCAGGAGAACACAGGGCTGAATGGCAAGGACAGAAAAATATGGCAGAGGGTTTCCTAGCCAGAACCTTGTCGCTAGTGGAAAAGGGGCAGTTCAGTGGGACAGGGGCTGGAGTACAGTGGAGAGGGAAGCCTGGGGAGGGGAGCTGGAGAGGGAAGCCTGGGGAGGGGAGCCTGGAGAGGGAAGCCTGGGGAGGGGAGCCTGGAGAGGGAAGCTTGGGGAGGGGAGTCTGGGGAGGGGAGCTGGAGAGGGAAGCCTGGGGAGGGGAGCCTGGAGAGGGAAGCCTGGGGAGGGGAGCTGGAGAAGGAAGCCTGGGGAAGGGAGCTTGGGGAGGGAAGCCTGGAGAGGGGGCCCTGGAGAGAGAAGCCTGGGGAGGGGAGCTGGAGAGGGAAGTCTGGAGAGGGGAGCCAGCTGAGCCAGCAAGAACCACAAACCTTTCAGGACGTTTGCCTGGAAGGAGAAGAGAGAGAGTGAGCAGGAGCTGGAGGAGTGTGGAGGTCTAGAAAAGATGTCTTTTGTTATTACTGTCATTGTTATTATCGCTACCATTATTATTATTAATGGGAGAGGCTTATGCACTTTAAAATGCTAGCAGGAAGAAGAAATTAGGGAGGAAGAGGATAAAGATACAAGAACAAAAGAGGCATCAGATCTGAGCAAGGGGAAGGAGTGGGATCCAGAGCCCAGGAGAGGGGGTCCTGAGAGCAAGGGGCAGCCCTCTCACTGCAGCTGGGGGAAGGTACATTTGCCTTTTTGGTGGCAGAAAGTTTTCTTCTGACATCTTTTCTCCTTGATATACCCAGGGAACATCCACATAACAGGAGGGCCTTAGAAGAAGCTGGCAAAGGACTGTATAGGCTCTTACCCTCCTTTCACATCCAGTTTACCTCGACAGAGGGCTCAGAGTCAGAGTTGAGGACAGCCTCAGTGAGATGACCCCCCTGCAGCCCAGGGGCAGCCGGTGGGATGACCCCCCTCCCCACAGCCCAGGTGCAGCCCAGTGGCTTCTCAGGGTCACAGGGCTACCAGGGCCTTACCAGCTTCAGCCCAAACCCTGTCTCCCTTCCAGAACCAGCCCTGTCTCTGGTCAATTCTAACTTAATCACACTCAGATCCATTCCATAGCATGGACCTTTTTTAGGCATTAGTGACTGGAAGAGTATTGTTCTATTACCTCACATTTTCCAAACCCACTTCACACAGATGGAATCTCTTATAATCCTATAAGGCCAAACACAGAAGAGGAACAGTGCCAGGGAGGTGGGGCTCAGGACTTGTTTTAGTAGATAGAATGGTCTTATTTCTTTTGACATCTTGATAAATCTTTCTGCGCCGCATTTGGGAGATTTCAACACTGAGGAACACATTCATTCAACAAATGCTGCTCGGCCTCTCCTGCGAGCCAGGCCTCTGCCCTGCATGTCACCTCTTTTGTCAGCCCCTCTTTTGGTCTCTGCCACAATTCTGTGGAGTCTCTGTCAGCATCCGTTTCATCCATTTCATTTGATGAGAGAGAAGTTAACTTACCTGTGGTTGCCCAGGAAATAAGTGACAGGACTGGGATTTGGAGTGAGGTCCTTGGCTCTAAGTCCTTTGCTCCTTCCATTTTATCAAGGAACCTCTTCAACAGTGTTTAACTCTGTTGGGGTTTTAATTTTAAATGTTACATGTCTTCCAGTGCAAAGTTTCCTTAGGGAGTTGTCAAAACCCAAGAATTGCACATGAGGTTTTTGAGTCATGGTCTTAGAAATGTTCAAATCAAATAAATTCAGGGCAGATGTATTAACCATGTGCTTTGGTTCCTGCCTGTGTGACATCAGCAAAATGATAGAGAAATAATAACAGATTTTTAAATAATTTGAGACAGCAACAAGAGTGTGGTGTGGGAGAACGTGGAGGTGTTTGAGGTCAGAACTGATATGTGGCAGCATGACCCTGGGAAGAGGTAGGGAGATAACCTTTATCACATACATGTCATGTGCTGGGTGCTCTGTGTGTTTCATTCTCATTTAATTGTCATGATGAGCTTTACAGATAGATAGAGTACTATATGCATTTTAAGATGAGAAAACTGAGGTTCTGAGAAGATAAGGATCATGTAGGTGGTGTAACCGGGTTCTGTCTTGTCCACACCGCTCCCTTTCAGGATGTCTCCCAAAGTTACTTATGGTACATGTGGTAGAAAACTACGGACTTAATTAAATGTACACACACACACACACACACACACACACACAACTTTGGCTGTTTATTAAAGAATTCCAAAAACAAAACAAAAGGAGCAACTATCAGCCATAAATTAGGCAACAACCATGCAGTCCTTGAAAATCAGTTTCTGAATTCACTTCTATATCTGATTATAATCCATACCTTTCTGGGACTGGCTTTGGGAGTCACAGGGGAGAAAGGCTCTTGTCCTCACAATTAAACTTTGAAAGGGCAGTAATATACATCTGCAAAATGATTAAAATAGATGAAAAGGCGGAGCAGGGTGGGAGAAGTACACAGAACTCAGATGGGTCAAATAGACCTTTCAGAACAAGGATAATCGTGGTTCACAGGTAATTTATTATTATTTTTAATCCTCACTGGAGGATATCTTCATTGATTTTAGAGAGGAGGGGAAAGAGAGAGAGAAACATCAATGTGAGAGAAACATCGATTGGTTGCCTCCCTTACGTGCCCCAACTGAAGATTGAGCCTGCAACCTTTTTGGTGTATGGGATGACACTCCAACCAACTGAGCCACTCAGCCAGGGCTGTGCAGGTATATTTCACATCTCAAAGAGATTCCTGTGTACTTTTTTTTTTTTAAAGATATATCTTTATTGATTTCAGAGAGAGGAAGGGAGAGGGAGAGAGAGAGATAGAAACATCAATGATGAGAGAGTCATTGATCGGCTGCAGCCCACAACCCGGGCATGTGCCCTGACCGGAAATGGAACCCCGATCTCCTGGATCCTAGAAGGTTGCTCAACCGCTGAGCCATGCCCAGCTGGGCTCCTGTGCACTTTTGAAAAAGAGTAGAGTAAAAGTATTGATTCAAGAGGGGGAATAATACTGAGTCCTTTCCTCTTTGTTAAAATGGATGTGCTGGGAATTAGATGAGATAACACGGGCAGTGCCTCCTCCAGTGCTGGCATGGGAGGTGTTCTTGATAAATTGTAGCATTGGTTAATATCATTGCCAGTACTGTGAAGGATTTGGCAAGGTCAAGGATGGTTGTATTTCCTCATGTGGGTGACTGGGAAGGCAATGATGCTATTTACAGAAATGATGCTGCCAGGGAGAGGAGCTATGTTTGTTAGCTCCTGGTTGGTTCTCAGTCATTCTCAAAGCCAGGTCATTCATCTTGTATCCAGAGCTGTCCATTGTCTTTAGTCAGGCTTCCCACAAGTGCCTGTCTGTGGTTTATAGTTGGGTCCCAACTGTGGTTTATAGTTGGGTCCTGAGGTGCATCTGAAGGGCACAGCACGTTAGGCATAACTCCTCAGCCCACAAGTTTTGTCTTGGGCCATTCCTGTTGCCCTCCCTGCCTACCTAGTAGACTCTGTTCTGTGTCTATTCCAGTTGGTGGACAGCTGGCTCTCAGTAAGGATTTTATAAAAGTTCCAGGTGTGTGGCAATATAATGTTGTTAATAATGCCGAGGCCTGATGTGAATTAAAAGGAGGTCTTATTACTTAGGGGTAGAAAGCTTTAGAATCTACCCTTTCCTCCATTCTCTGCCAGGGCTCCCCAGGCACAAGCTGGGAATGCTAGGCATTTGGATAGTGACTTTTTTTTGGTCCTTTTCTACAACCCCCCAAGTAATCCCATTAGATCGCTCCTATTATCTCCCTTGGCTAGGAACCAGCCTCACCGATAGGTAAAATGTAGGTAATTTGATAAAATTATAATGCTAAATCTGCTGGAAAAGAAGAGACAAGGCCCCTGAAGAAGATGTTAAAGGGAACCTCTCCTTCTGTGTCCTGCTTATATGGCAGATGGGAGGGTCCAACCTAGGGTAGGAATCTGAGGTAATCCCAGAAGCTTACCTGATTGCAGTGGGTTTGGATTGGGCTCTCCTCGACTCTAGGAAAGGAGGACAACACAAGGCTGATGAAATCTGAGATTCTCCAGCCAGATTTAAATTTGGAGTTTGCCTGTGGGAGATGAGTCCCACTAGTTAAAATGTTACGTCCTCTCAGACAATTTGCATCAGGAAGGGACTTCTGGTCCCAGAGAAGCTGGCAGAGTGGCAGTGGAGGGGTTAAGAATATTTTGGCACAGAAGTCCCAGGAAATGTGGCTGGGGTTTTGGAGAAAGTATCCTACTTCCCCTCACCCCTCGGGGTCCCAGGAAGCGCCTCCACCCAGCCCTCCTCTCCAGAGGAGACTCTTCTCAGCCTGCTGAAGAGAGGAACGGCCAAGGCTCAGCTCTTCCCCACTTCCACATTCACGTCCAGTTAGATGCCCCTGGTGTGTTTGATCCCAGTTAGGATCACTGTTGAAATCGACTCTTTACTTCCTAGGAACTAGCCAGCTGTGGATGGAGCAAGAAGGAGAAACACAGTCTCGCCCCAAATGTCGTGGCCTTTACCCGGAGGTTTAACCAGGTAAGCAACCCCTTGCACGTGCCTGTCCATAGATAGCAGTGTTGTCCCCTGTAGGCTGGGAGCCCTGCCAGAGCTCAATCCCAGGCACCTGGCCCCAGGTCCAGACCCATCTTCCTGAACCCCCACCTTCATCCATCCTTGGGCCATCAGTCCCCTTTTTCACACAGCAGGTAGAACTGAACACATCTTCCCTGTGTTTAAATTGCTTCAGTGGCTTCCAGTGCCACGTAAGCTGAGGTTTAAGCACCTTAATTGCCCTGCAAGTTCCTGCATGGTACATCTGGCTTCTGTCCTCCATCAGCCTCTTCTCGTGTCTCCCCCCAACCCTAACTCTGCAGGCTTCAGCCACCCTTACCTTCCTTCTCTTTCCCGATGCACCATATCTTTGTCCCATCAGGCTCCCATAGGTGCTGTCTTCTCAGCACAGAATTCTTCCTCAGCCCAAACATCATTTCCTCTGGGAGTCTTCCGTGACCCCCCAGCCCATATAAGGTCTCCCCGTCATGCATTCCCTTGCTGCACCTGTGCTGCTCCGTGCGGCCCTCTACTCATCTTTCCTCATTTTGTGTAACTCTCTAGTCTCTATCTTCCTTGCCAGTCTGTGGGCTCCATGAGGGCAGGAACTATGTCTGCCTTGTTCATCACTGCATCCCCCACCCCTTTTCCCAAGTTCAGGTGTATAATAGACCCTCAGTAAATATATGTGGGATGAATGCACAAGGTGCTCAGGAAACATTTCTTGAATTGAATTTATTTGAATTTCTGATGGCCTGGTCACTGGCCTCATACGTCCTACTACAAACTGATTTGGTCCAACCAGAACCTTTGTTCCATGTATGAAGATCTGCATCCCTACTTAAGGAATGATGGTGGGAACTTGGACTAGCTGAAGGGATTGGGCTTCTGACAGCTCAGCCACACCTCTCGGAACGTGAGCTTCAGTGGAAAGCACCCTGCAAGACCCCCTTTGTATAGATCAAAGTCCCAAATGGTGCCGTTGACAGTTTTTCTTCTTTTCTGCTTGTTTTTCTGGTCTCAAATGAGGGCAGTGGCTTAGAGGTTGCACAGTGTGCGTGACTGGACTTCTGGGTGATGGGCCTGGGTTCCCTTTGGCCCCTCCCTCCAGCTGGGCGGTCCCTCTCGGAAATGCTGGGTCCTGTGCATCACCATTACTCAGTCCTCTCCAGCCTTGCCTGGCCTCGCCTGCCACCCGAGAGAGAGGCACCAGCTTGTAGTCCTGAGATCAAGGCTGGAGTTAGCATTCCTGTTGTTTTATGAGACAATAGGAACTAAGAAGGGCCTGTCTGTGGTAGGGACTACACACTGTGTGTTTTGAAAAGGGAAGTTCTGAAGCCTTTTGTTTCTTTTTTTTTCTCTTCAAAATCTTTTCCTTTTCAACGGAGCTTAGTCTTAAAAAAACTAAAAAAACCAAACAGATGTGCGCACTCTATCAGGGGATTCATAGTTTCCTGAGCAAAACTGTTTGGCAGGATCCAGCTCTGTCCCACCTCCGAGCGGCCGCAGAGCTCCCCGAGGAGGCCGCTGGGGGCTCTGATGTAATCTGCTTTGCATGTGGGGCCAGGTCAGCTTGGCTTGTTCTGCGAGCAGTTGCGTTCTGTCCAGATCAGACCAATACAGCGAGCCAGAGGAAAGTCACACTTTCCCAAACGATGCTCTGAGAGATGGTCTTCCTGCGGCCTGTAAGCTGCTCAGAGCAAGCGGCTCCTGGACATCGTCCTGGTATCTCCAGTTTGAAAACTGGCTGGCAGCCAGGTCTGGTCAGCCGCTGGGGCTGCTTTCTCAGAGATAAACTGATTGGCATCCTTTCCTGGTGGATTTCCATATTCAAGAACAAGCCTCCCCATCAGACTCCAGATAAAGGAAAGCAGGTCACTTACCTTTGTGAGCCTCAGTTTCCTTATCTATAAGTGAGAATAGTAAGTACTCACCTTGCACAGTTGTTGTGAAAATGAAATGAAAGAGCCACTCTAGGGGAAAGGAGAGAGCTGATTGTGGAAATATAGAAAGACTCTTGGGCAGAGACGATGGCCCAGAGGAAACAGAGATTGTGCCTTTCAAAGTGCCCAGTGCAGAGGGTAGTTGGTTCCTGTAGCGCACTTTGCAGTAGGGACACAGGAGGGCAAATACTTGGATGCATCCACAGGTGGGGGTTAGCAAAGCAGGTGTTTTGGAAGGAGCAAGGGGCAAAGGAACTTAAAGTACTGACTGAGAAAGGGCTGCAGTGACAGATGACAGGGGATCAGTCTGTCGGGGGAAGGGCTGCCAGGGACTCCAGGTATGGTGAGAAGGAAGGACAGGCATGGTGGGGGCTCAAGGAGAAGGTAAGGACTAGAAGGTTGAAAGGCTGTGGCCCATGACTGGAATTTAAAGTTTCTGGCCCAGAGCTGTTCTGGGTAATTATGGGGAGGAGATGACTGAAGTGGTAGGTGGGTAACAGCTGCTAAAGTGGTCAAGGGACCTTGAAGCCATGGTCATGCACAGTGATGTTGAAGTTGCCCAAGGAAGGAGGTGGGGTTTGGTATGGAGAGGAAGATAGTGATCCAGATCCAGATCTGTTTATATTTCTATAGTTTTACTGTTTTCAGATGTCAAGGGGGCGTCATTTATAAAGAGCCTTTTCAGAATGGCTCTTTCACTTAGCAATTTGCATTTAAGACGCATCCATGTGTTTATGTGGCTTGATGCCTTCCTGTTTTTATGAGTACTGTTCCATTGTATGGATATACCAGTGTGTCCATTCACCTATTGAAGGTATCATACCTACTTCCAGTTTTTGATGATTATGAATAAAACTGCTATAAACTAGTGTGTGTATGTGTGTGTGTGTGTGTTCACAAGATTTCAAATAAGCTGGGTAAATACTTAGCAGTACAATTACTGGATTGTGTCTGTACCATTTTGCATTCCCACCAGCAATGAATGAAAGTTTGTGTTGCTTCAGATCCTTGCCAGCAATTAGTATTGTCAGGGTTTTAAAATTTTGTTTATTTATTTTAGCCATTCTAATGGTGTGTGGTAATCTCACTTTCCTTTTCTTTATCCAGCCACTCCTGGGGCCTCACATGAAGAGCAGGGGGACTATCACACAGGAATGGCATGTCAATATCGCAGTGGCCAGAAAGGATCAGGTGAAGGATCTAGGATTGAGAAGACTCAGGGAGGAGATAATTAAGGTGTTTTCAAGTAATTTAGGGGTTCTTATCGAGAAGCTGATTAGGCATAATCTATGGGGCCAGGGGATAGGAGTGGGGAGGCAGCGCTTTATCCTAATACAAGGTAGTTCCCTACCCATGAAAGCTCAGGCAGAGACCAGACAGGGCTTTATCACAGTGACTGTAGAACATCATGTGGGGGTTGAGGGAAAGGTGGGGCCTTTAAGTCCCCTCTAACTCTAGGTTTCTAAGAAAACTGTGAATGGGCTTATGAGAAATTTATGGCAAAGTAGATTTTCCATAAGAAAAGACAGTATTTTTAAACCTGAATTTTTCTTTGCTTTATGCTTTGGTTGTTTTCTTTGTGGTTGATTAAATAAAGTTCTTCGTGTTCATAACTATTCTGCTTTATTCATGTGTAATACTGTTGTGAAATTTCCCAGGGGATATCGTAGTCTTCAGTGGCTAAAGTCTAGTGCTAATTTTACCACTGGAACAATAATAGTGATAACAATAGTTTATGTGTTTCAAAAGCTTATTAACACCATGACCAAGTGGCATTTATTCCAGGTATGCATGACTGATTCAGCAGTTGAAAATTAATGTAATCCAGTGTATTTATAAGCTAAAGAAGAAAAATCATATTATACCAGTTCATTCAAAAAAGCATTTGATGCCCTGGCCTGTTTGCTCAGGTTAGAGCGTCGGCCTGCGGACTAAAGGGTCCCAGGTTCGATTCCGCCTAAGGGCACTTACCTGGGTTGCAGGCTCAATCCTAGCCCTGGTCAGGGTGAGTGTGGGGACAACCAATTGATGTGTCTGTCTCACATGGATGTTTCTTTCTCTTTCTCTCTCTCACTTCTACTCTCTCTCAAAAGCAATGGAAAAAATATCCTTGAGTAAGGATTAAAAAAAAAGCATTTGAGAAAATTCAACACCCATTAGGAATAGAGGGGAGCTTTTTCAATTTGGTAAAGGACATCTACAACAGTCCTGCAGCCAACATCATACTGAATGGTGAGACACTAGGTGCTCTCCTCTCAAGATGGGGAACAAGGCAAGGATGTGCTCTCTTACCACTTCCATTTAGCATCATACTGGAAGTCCTGACTAGTGCAATAAGACAAGAAAAAAAAGAGAGAGATGTACAGATTGAAAAGGAAGAAATAAAACTGTCTTTATTCACAGATGACATGATTATGTATGTAGAAAATCTCAAATCTATTAAAAAAAACCTCCTGGAACGAAGAAGTGAGCATTAACAAGGTTTCAGTTTACAAGATCAACATGCAACCTGGCCGGATGTGGCTCAGCGGTTGAGAGTCAACCTAGGATCCAGGTGATCAGGGTTCGATTCCCGGTGAGGGCACATGCCCGGGTTGAAGGCTTGATCTCCAATGACTCTCTCATCATTGATGTTTCTATCTCTCTCTCTCCCTCTCCTTTCCTCTCTCTGAAATCATTAAAGATATATTTAAAAAAAATAAAAAGATCAACATACAAAAGTTTTCCTATATCAGCAATGAAGAATTGGAATTTGAAATTTAAAAGAAAATTTGCAATAGCATACGCACACGAAGAAATACTTAGGTATAAAACTAACAAGTATGTATAGGTTCTGTATGCGGAAAACTATAAAACACTAATGCAAAAAATCAATGTAGATTGCAATAAATAGAGAAATATTCTATCTTCATGGATTAGAAGATTCATCATTAAGATGTCAGTTCTTCCTAACTTGATGTATAAATTCAGTTCATTCTTGATCAAAGTCTCAGCAAGCTGTTTTACAGATGTCAATAAACTGATTCTGAAATTTATATGGAAAGGCCAAAGACACAGAATAACCAATACTGAAAAAGAACGAAGTTGACGGACTCACTCTACCTGATTTCAAGACTGACAGTAAAGCTACAGTAATCAAGGCAGCATGGTATTGACTAATGCCTAGACATCTAGGACAATGGAACAGAATAGAGAGCCCAGAAATAGGCCCTCACAAACAAGTCAATGGGTCTTTGACAAATGTGTGAGGACATTCAATGGAGAAAGGGTAATTTCTTCAACAAATGATGTGGGAATAATTTGAATTCTTTTTTTACATATGTAAAAAAATGAACCTAGACACAGAGTTTAGACCTTTGATAAAAATTAACTCAAAATGGATTATAGACCTAAATGTAAAAGTCGAAACTATGAAACTTTTAGGAAAAAAACATAGAAGAAAATCTGCATGACCTTTGGTGATGAGTTATTAGATATGACACCAAAAGTACAATCCACGAGAGAAAAACTTGAAAATTGGACTTGATTAAAATTAAAACTTTCCACTCTGCAATGCAGACACTGCTAAGAGAATTAAAAAACACACAACACAGACTGGGAAAAATATTTGCAAAACACATATCTGATAAAAGACTTGTATCCAAAATATACTCTGAAAATTCAACAATAAGAAAACAACCCAATTAAAAAATGGGCAAAAGATCTGAGCAGACAGCTCACCCAAAAAGACATGCAGATGGCAAATAAACATGAATAGATGCTCAACATCATTTGTCATTGGGAAAATGCAAAACACTACATACCTATTAAAATGGCTTTCAAAAACCTGACAAACACCAATTGCTAACAAATGCTTGGAGCAACACAAACTCTCATTCATCGCTGGGGGGAATGCAAAATAGTACAGACACAATCCAGTAATGTACTGCCTGGTATTTGGTTTCTAATACCATTATCTACTAAAAGGAACCCAGGCTCTTTGGAGAAGTGGCTGGTTTAGGACTGGGGCGAGAAATGTACAAGATGAGCCTGTAGTACTTTATAGTGTCTGAAAATAAGGAAATGCTCAAACAAGCCAACAAACCAAAACAATGGTGGGGTATGTCAAATGGAAAGGGCACAGGAACTAACTGAAAGAGGTCTCAGTGGCCAAAGCTGGAACAATCTGAGCAAAACAAAATAACACAGTATTGGGTTATAACCCAAAGTATAAAATAAGTATATGTGAGTTCATTCTGATATAAATGATTGAATAAATAGAGGAGACAAGACAAACTTCCTATGCAGAAGAATTCCAAATAATTAATGTAGATCTTTTGCCCTGAAGAAGGTGAAGCATGGCTGCCCACTTCCTTCTATAGGAACTTCCTTGGAGAGTTTGAGGTAAAAGTATTATTTATGTAACCAGTTCCCTGTTGATGGGCATTTTGTTTTGTTTTCTATTCTGTTGTTTTATAAACACTGCTTCAGTGAACCTTTGAACATGTGTCCTTCTAAATTTCTATATTCATAAGGTAAACATTCTAAGGAGAATATAACTTTAACATCTTGAAAGATATATTCAAGTTGTTCTTCAGAATGGTCCTACCCCAAAACAGTGTAGAAGAGTACCAATTTCTCCACACTTTTGGTACAATGTATGACTCACAAAGGGTTAATGTATTTCCTTTAATATACAAAGGCCATTTACTAATCAATAGTAAGAGGAGAGATGTCCCCATAGAGAGATGGGTGAAGGACCTGAGTAGGTAACTCACAAGGCAAATAATACATGTGGCCTATAAATATTTGTAACAACAACAACAAAACACAAAAAAAGTGCAAAAAAATGTTTACTGAGTAGTCATGAAAGAAATGCAACATAAAAACAGTGAGACATTATTTTGTCCATTAGTTTAGTAAAGAAATAAGGGTTGTAACAACTGATACATTTGCCTATGTGTGGGAACACGGATCTGCTCAGACTTGTTGACAGATAAACAAACAAACCTTTTAGAGGCCAAGTTTTTTTATATATACTTTTGGAAAAAAGGTACACATACTTTTATTCATTCCACCTTACAGGAATTTATCTGAAGACCTTAATTAAAAATATATAAAGATAGGTGTATAAATATGCTCACCATAGCAATGTTTTTGTGTGTGTTAATCCTCACCGGAGGATATTTTTTCCATTGATTTTTTTTTTAGAGAAAGTGGAGTGGGGAGAGAGAGAGAAACATCTATGTGAGAGAGATACATTGATCGGCTGCCTCCCGCACGCACCCTGACCAGGGCCAGGGATCGAACCTACAACCCAGGTACATGCCCTTGACCGGGAATCGAGCCCGGGACCCTTTGGAGCTTGGGCTGACGCTCTAACCACTGAGCCACACCAGCCAGGGCACCACAGCATTCTTCATTACAACAAAATAATTAGAAATAACCCACTGGACAATAGGGGGGCACTTAATGATGCTACATCCCTAAGATGAAATACTTAGCAGATGCTAAAAATTATCTTGTAGAAGAATATTAATTCACTTATGAAAATTCTTGTGATAATATGAGTAATATATACCAATTTAATTGAAAAACAAACATGTTCTTTGTATGGAAAAAAGACTAGAAAGACACACACCATGGTGTTTATCATGGTGGTCTGTGTGTGAGAATGAGGTTGCAAGTGATTTGTGTTTATCTCTGCTTCCCTTGTTTTCTGTATTAAGCTTCTCTTAATTTTTATAGTTAGAAAAGAGAATTTAAAATGTTTAAAATTGCTGATCCTGCCTTTGTTGTATCTCTCTTATCTGACCCTTCTCTCCGTCTGCTTCAGCATGGCCCTAGCTCAGGCCTCTCATCTCTCATTGCACCAGCTTCCTCTTGGGTGTCCCTGCAATGGGATCTAGCCTGTCACTCTTCTGCTCAGAAGCCTCGGGGACTCTCCTGTGTATAATTAATTGTCCTAGGTCCTTCTTATCACTTTGTTTCTCCAGACCCCCACAGTGTGGCATTCACTTTCCTTGTTAGTGCCAATCGCCCTCATTATTCCCACCTGCCACTGCAGTCCTGTCAGCCTACTCAGTTCTCCCTGGTCCTGGCGTATATACCACACCTTAGTCCTATCTTTACCTGTTTAAAGTCTGCCCATCTTTCAAGGCTGCCTCTTCCAAGAAGCCTTCCTCAGTCATCACCTCCCTCATATTCCAGTTCAGGCCACGATCACCAGCTGCCTTTTAATACTATGATTTCTGGAAGATCCTGCCTCCTCCTTTGGTCAGGCAAGCACTGATAGGTCTGGACTGGCAATGCCTGGAGCCTGCACACAGCAAGGGCTTCATGAAAGCCTGTTGGATTGAATTGACCCAGAGTCTCCTCCACATACCATGTGTTGCAAATCAGAGTCAACTCTGCCATGTTCCATAATTATGCCTTAAATATGTGTGCTTTTTTCGCATGCAGGAATCTATTAAATTATTCAGTATACATAAACAATCACACTTGAGATTATGTGGCATAAAAATGTGCATTTATTAAAATATAAGATTTATGGGCATATCATTTGGTATCCAGAATATCTTTCTTCTATAACTGGCTAGTAAACATTTGAGTCTGAACTTAATTTCAGGCAATTTCTTGGAAAAAAATGATTCTGTGGAAACTGGGGCATGTCCTGGCAGCAACCACAGATAATTATGCAGAGAAAACTTTTCTGTAATATTCCTGCTTAATGTGAAAAGCAAAGCTTTGATTCTTGGTTACTCTTTCCTTGTTTTCTCATTGAAAAGTGACAGTACTTCAGTAAAGAGAATACATTTGGTTGCAGCAGTAAAAGTGCTCTGTTAATTCTAGAATACCCTTGACTATTTTTTTCTTTGTAGAATTTAGAGGTTTTCTATGCCTCACCTTCCTTTTAACCTCACACCATCCCTACTGTGCCCAGCTCTCCACCTTTCTCTGCAGACCTGTCATTGAACTCTTGACATCTGTGCTCCACACAGAACTATGGTTGTAGCAGTGACACATAAGCAAGAAAGCTGACCACTCCCCAGCACTTCTTGGCATGAAGCCCCTTCTGTGTCCATGGAGGTGTCATGCGAGTCACTGCACTTGGGTATATTACTTTCTTGGTCCCACCAAGGGACTCAGGCGCTTGAGGATGTTGACTTATGTGAGAGGTGAAGCATGAGTGATGTTCTGAACCAGAAGTACCAGGATGTTCTTTTGGTATCTGCTGTCTCCACAAAAACATGCCCTTAACCTGCATTGCTTATGGAACTTTGAAAGACACTTCTGTATTATTTACATTAGTATTTGAGTGATCCTACCCTGAAAAACTAAACTTGTCACATTGTGCGAATATTGGTAAATTTCTTCTTGTCTTGGGTCTGTCTGGGGATATGGATCTCATGGGTAGTACTGACGGTATGCATATCCCCCTGGCCACTTGTCCATCCATCCACCCATGGTCTCCCCATACTGGGATCCTTTCATCTCAAAATTCCCTGCAGCACTTGTAGAGACACTCATGTTGCGGAGGCACAGTAACCCCCGGAGGAGGAGCAGCCTACGCACTTCTTGCAGCACCGCTGTGTGTTGGAGAATATGGGACCCATTCGCCAGGTTGGGTGCCTCACACAACCCTAGGCTGTGCTCTCCCAGTTTCCCAACCTCTTGGAAATCCCATTAACAGTGGAGGGCAGGGGTAACATGGGTGGCCCAGCATTTAATAACTTCTGGTGAGTGTCTGTGTCTGTGTATTTGACTCTACAGGTCAGCTTTTGGGTTGTACGAGAAATTCTAACGGCCCAGACTTTAAAAATAAGGGCAGAAATCCTGAGCCATTTTGTGAAAATAGCCAAGGTAAGCTGGTTTGTCGTTTTTTGTTTTTTTTTAATCTCCCCTCCCCTCCCCTCCCCTCCCCTCCCC